GCCCTGGTAACATGGTGCCTCACTATAAGACATCTCACAAGAAGGCTTATACTGGCCATAGCACTGTAGGCCTATATTAAGCTACTGTTCATATGATTAATCTTTGGACTTTGTCATTGTTGCTCTAATGTTTATAGAAAAAGTTCTTTAGATTTTCCTGTGACTGTGCGTGCGTCACAAACATGCAGGGATAAACAATACAGACGACAACAGAGATTCCCTGATGGACGTTTCGATAACCATCAATGAATCATCAGACTGCTACTCCCTCAACACTGGTCAGTGTAGTTCAAATTTAGTACACCTCATCAAACAAGGCTTTTATACCATTGAAACATTGATTAAAACGGCACCGAAGATACAGCTTCACCCACGAAATTCAGTTAAAAAAAAAAATGTCCTGAGCAAGATAAAAACATGCAACAGATTAACAACTGTGGGTAGTCCACTATGTGGGATTAAAAGTTAAGTAAATCCACTCTGTATATGTATGTTCATGTAGTTACCTATGCATGGCTTTTCCTGATCCACAAGGCTTTGGAGCCCTGTATGTATTTTCAAGTGCTGCAATACATGCTAACAAATGCTGATCTTGGCAGAAGTTGTATTTAAATGATGTTATTCTATAGGCTATAGTAGAGACAACAACAGATGCATAAACATACCATACAGACTATACATGAAACAACAGTGATATATGAAGAAAACAAACAGAATGTTATCCACTGAATACCGCCGCTCACTTGTCTCTCATTGGTCTCCGCTCTGACCAATACAGAACCCAAGCCCTGCTCTCAATGAGTGGGTGAGGACACATGCCTCTGAGGGGAGCTCTGACTGGATCCCAACCAAACCAGGGGCGCCCGGACAACATCAAACTGAGATGAAAAGTCTAAAATGGCGTCACCCAGGCCCAGAGTCCAGCTCTTACCTTGTTACGTTGTTAAGAAGAGGATCCCTGTGGTTCTCACAGCAGTGGCATCCCTGGGCCACACGGGCATGTAACTGGTCAAAGTGTGTGCGTGAGTGGCTGTGTCCTTATAGGTCCGAGAGCTCAGAAGTAATGCCTGCTTCTCTGTTCCAGAGGCTCGTCTGGATCTCCAGGGCTGGCGTTGGCCATTTCCTGGCTGTAGCGCAAGATGCTTTTTCCTGAGGAAGTGGGCCATCCCATTTTTGCCCCCCACCCCCCCCGCCTCCTCCTCCACAGCGAGCTACAGGCCCCTCAGGGAGAGAGGCAGATTATACTAATTGCCTTAAGAGAGAGAAGGGGAGTAGTTGTTGTGGCTAGACTTTCATTTAGTTTATTAATTTGTTTGTTTGCTTTAGACCCATATGTATGTTGAATCACCCCTCTCATAGAGATGATCTATTTTAAGTCTCCCACCTTAGGCTACCCCTATGCCCTATCCACCGGCTATCAGGATGGAAGCGAGCCCACATGGAGCTGAAACGGATCTAGGATTTGTTTTGGAGAATTCTCCCGTTACCTTGTTGTCTTGCACTTTGTTTATGAACTTATTCTGCAATGAACACACCTACACACGGATGTGGTCATAGAGTTCATGTGTACGCTCTTTGATTGAGGCCCATGTTTGTTTATGTGCTTTGAGCGTCTGTGAGACTTTAGGATGTATTGATGCTGTGGAACAATGCACTTGGAATTCTAACCCTTTACTGTATACTGTTTGTCCAGCCTACATAATACCCTGTCTTTTGAGTAGCGTAACGTGGTAAAAAATTATAATAATTGGATTTCACCTAAGTTTAACATTCTGTCATAAAGAGCACATGTTCAACTTCATAAAAAATGTGTTTTCCCATCTCAAGAGGTTAAATAATAAAAATGACTATAGTAAGTGCCTATTAAGTAACAGGGTCGATGATTTCATCTTAAAACAGATGTAAATCCCCTTGTGATGGGGGGATTGGAAGTTTGTTGTGTGCAACAGGGAGGGTCAATTGAAAGTAAGCTTCACAAATGTGTTAGATTTATTTTATTTATAGCCTGTCTAACTATGGGTAACAGGGTTGACATGTTATTTTCGACCCGCTCATTTTTCCACCACAAAACACCAGAGCATGGCCAAAAAGAGTAGAGCCAGCTCACCTGCTTTTACACTATCGTTTGACTATTAGATGTTCAATGTATATTTTGAAAAAATATATTTGAAAAGGAATAGTTTCACCACATTAAAACGAGAGTTCAGTTCACGTAACAGGGTTGACTTTAAAATGAGGGACAGACAAATTGTTCACTAATCACATGACATAAATTTGGGGATTAAGTGGGTTCCTAGAAGTCACAGAGGGTGCACGGAGGGACATGTCAAAATGCTGAATATTGGCACTTTAGGAAGTCTTTATTCGCATGTGGTCTATATTAAAGGACACATTTAATAATATAACATGCTTTTAAAATTCAATATTGGCACACAATTTCTACTTAAAATATCAAAGGGACGCAAAAGGCACTCATTTCGTGGAACGACCCTTATACCAAACCATCATGACTGTCAAGGGGGAAAGTTCACTTCACAAGTTCATCTGATTCCATGATCATGACACACAGAGACATTTCAAATGTGCACCTTACAGACCAGAAGTCCTTAATGCCAGGTGGAATTTGTCATGTTTACACCACAAACATAGTCAAAAGTGTGGCGACAGCACACACACACACACAACACAACTGTGAAGGTGACGAGGAGCCTGGTTGGTCTGTGACTGGTGGATCAGACGAGCTTCAGCAACAAACAGGCATATACATACACAGAGCGTTTTTGAGCAAAGCAAAATTCCACAGAAAAGTATGAAATTGAGGCTAATGATGGTAGCATGATGCTGAGCTAAAAGGAGGTACTACAGTACCCATAATGCCCTGTAAGCATATCTGGTTTTAAATTTTAGTCATTTAGCAGACGCTCTTATCCAGAGCGACTTACAGTTAGTGAGTGCATACATTTTTTATATTTTATTCCTGTTTAGATTTTTTTTGTTATTCCCTCCTTTTTTTGTTTTCATTTTTATATTTATATCATGTTTTATTTTTTTTATTTTTTTACTGGCTCCCCGTGGGAACCGAACCCACAATTATTATTATTTTTTACTGGCCCACCGTGGGAATTGAACCCACAACCCTGGCGTTGCAAACGCCATGCTCTACCAACTGAGCTACACGTGGCCTAAAGACCTTCCTGAAGCTGACTACGGTGTCCCGTCTCCTCCTCAATACAATGAGAAAGGAAACGTTGACTTGTATTCTCCTGCCATCTACAGGCTATTTCAATGAACCATGACAGTCTGTCAGATTAGATAGTATTGGATTTGATTGAGCAAGAGTTCATACTGTAGGATTGCTATGATACAATTATGGGTGCTTGAAAAATCTGACATTACATGCATCATTGGGCTGACACTTCAGTTAGCATCATATAGGGTACTATCTATCTACCCTCAGTCACACCCTAGCAATTTATTTACAATGATGGTAAATGGGTTGACCCCTATTGGATTAAATAAACACCCTGTTTCCAAAGGTGTGTATAGTAGAATGCCAGCTCAATTGGTAGAGCATGGCGCTTGTATCGCCAGGGTAGTGGGTTCGATCCCCGGGACCTCCCATACGTAAAAATGTATGCACACATGACTGTGAGTCGCTTTGGATAAAAGCGTCTGCTAAATGGCATATTATAAAATGTAATGTTGTTGTAAATTACTGCTCAGTGTATTTAGCCAGGAGAGGGCGCTGTTTATCCATACGACTCCTATCTAAAAAAAACAATTGTTTGTTTTATTTTATTTTTTAACATGGGCCATCACTATGTTACAGCAATATGTAAATACAGCCTCTAATCTATAACACTATACTGGTCATTATTAAAAGTTAGTCTTGGAAACGTTGAATTCAAAATGTATTTAAACCAATATACAATCAATACAACCAACCAACAGAGAACTACACATTTACAAACAGTGTTGAAAATGATGTTTAAAAAAACAACACATTAGGAAACATTGTGTACCTGAGGTGGTACATAGGGGCACAGTAAAGCAGTTGGGTTACTATCCTTTAGCAGACTGAAAATCCTCAGCACTCCATCTATAGATATACACTTTGGTAAGAAATAAAATACCTGGTATTGCTGACAGCTTAAATGTTGTGTGATCTTAAATTATCCTTAATAGTAGCCTAAACAGACTTTGTGAGTGGCAGTTGACAACCTACCAAGTAATACTGCTTGGCCTTCATAAAAAAAATATCCTTTGTAGCTTTATGTATATGGTCATTAAAATCATTGGGAATATCACAACACAATATTTCTCCCCTTTATAATATATATATATATATATATATATATATAATTTTTTTCAGTTGACCCCATTAACTATTGTCTCATGTTACTGGATGCACAGTTTTAAAATATGATAGGCCTGCTTGTAGCTAGGTACCGTCGACTAACCCATTGGGGTATATGAAAGCTCAGTAATGTCTTTATTACCTTCAGACTGACATTGGTATCTACAGTATGTTGCTGGACTCTTTGGTTCTGGTTTATGAGCTAAACAGAATCAGCGGTGCATCTCACAACATAAGACACAGACCAACAGTTGATACCTTAATGGATTTTCCAATAAAAGCATTATACAATATACTTGAAAAAAGAGAGAACAGTAGAACAATTAGAGGAAACACAGAACACAAGTAACGGTAGCGACCCAACAGAGAGCAGCATTTCACACATTTCTGACACTGAGTTAACAAAAATAAAACATAATTCATTTGACATTGTAGAGGTACAAATGTTGCGGGACTGCCTGTGCATTGTGGTTGTGTGTGTGTGTGCGTGTGGACAGAAGATAAGGTGTCTGCAATGTTTGCGATAAGTTGTCCGATCTGGCTAGCTGTTTAATGTGTATTTGACAGTGTATAGACCCGCAAGGTCCATGGCATCGGGCTGGGGAATTGGGTTCTGGGGTTGAAGGGTAACATAACAGGGCCTTCAGATCACCTCTCGGTCTGCAGAGTTTTGCCGGTTGGGGAAGATGTGTAGCTGGGGTTGTTCGATGCCATCATTGTGGAGGTCCTCCTGTTTCTGCAGCCCATGGAGTTTCAACACCAGTTCCTTGATGAAAACCTGTGTGTGCAGGGAAGAAGGGAAGTCGGTCATCATTTGAAACATGCTCCGAATGGATACAGTGAGAGACAATGATGGTAATGTTGAGTAATTCACAGTAAAACAAGGGAACATGTTTCAGAGATATCACTTCAATTTGTGTGTATGATATCAATATGTGGGGGGGGGTCAACATGGTCCGTCAACACATAACGGACAGGTTGAGTAATGCTGACCACGAAGGATACAGGGACAATGTGAAAGAAGGACCTCGTATGTGAGGGACAAGACTAGCATTGTCAGCTACTACAGTGGGGAAAAAAAGTATTTAGTCAGCCACCAATTGTGCAAGTTCTCCCACTTAAAAAGATGAGAGAGGCCTGTAATTTTCATCATAGGTACACGTCAACTATGACAGACAAATTGAGAAAAAAAAATCCAGAAAATCACATTGTAGGATTTGTTATGAATTTATTTGCAAATTATGGTGGAAAATAAGTATTTGGTCAATAACAAAAGTGTCTCAATACTTTGTTATATACCCTTTGTTGGCAATAACACAGGTCAAACGTTTTCTGTAAGTCTTCACAAGGTTTTCACACACTGTTGCTGGTATTTTGGCCCATTCCTCCATGCAGATCTCCTCTAGAGCAGTGATGTTTTTGGGCTGTCGCTGGGCAACACAGACTTTCAACTCCCTCCAAAGATTTTCTATGGGGTTGAGATCTGGAGACTGGCTAGGCTACTCCAGGACCTTGAAATGCTTCTTACGAAGCCACTCCTTCGTTGCCCGGGCGGTGTGTTTGGGATCATTGTCATGCTGAAAGACCCAGCCACGTTTCATCTTCAATGCCCTTGCTGATGGAAGGAGGTTTTCACTAAAAATCTCACGATACATGGCCCCATTCATTCTTTCCTTTACACGGATCAGTCGTCCTGGTCCCTTTGCAGAAAAACAGCCCCAAAGAATGATGTTTCCACCCCCATGCTTCACAGTAGGTATGGTGTTCTTTGGATGCAACTCAGCATTCTTTGTCCTCCAAACACGACGAGTTGAGTTTTTACCAAAAAGTTCTATTTTGGTTTCATCTGACCATATGACATTGTCCCAATCCTCTTCTGGATCATCCAAATGCACTCTAGCAAACTTCAGATGGGCCTGGACATGTACTGGCTTAAGCAGGGGGACACGTCTGCACTGCAGGATTTGAGTCCCTGGCGGCGTAGTGTGTTACTGATGGTAGGCTTTGTTACTTTGGTCCCAGCTCTCTGCAGGTCATTCACTAGGTCCCCCCGTGTGGTTCTGGGATTTTTGCTCACCGTTCTTGTGATCATTTTGACCCCACGGGGTGAGATCTTGCGTGGAGCCCCAGATCGAGGGAGATTATCAGTGGTCTTGTATGTCTTCCATTTCCTATTAATTGCTCCCACAGTTGATTTCTTCAAACCAAGCTGCTTACCTATTGCAGATTCAGTCTTCCCAGCCTGGTGCAGGTCTACAATTTTGTTTCTGGTGTCCTTTGACAGCTCTTTGGTCTTGGCCATAGTGGAGTTTGGAGTGTGACTGTTTGAGGTTGTGGACAGGTGTCATTTATACTGATAACAAGTTCAAACAGGTGCCATTAATACAGGTAACAAGTGGAGGACAGAGGAGCCTCTTAAAGAAGAAGTTACAGGTCTGTGAGAGCCAGAAATCTTGCTTGTTTGTAGGTGACCAAATACTTATTTTCCACCATAATGTGCAAATAAATTCATTAAAAATCCTATAATGTGAATTTCTGGATTTTTTTTTCTCAATTTGTCTGTCATAGTTGGCGTGTACATATGATGAAAATTACAGGCCTCTCTCATCTTTTTAAGTGGGAGAACTTGCACAATTGGTGGCTGACTAAATACTTTTTTTCCCCACTGTATATGTGGAGTCATCATTAGTTACTTCTGTTCCTGAAAGAATGAGTGAGGAGGTGAGAGAGAGAGAGAGACAGAGTATAAAGAGAGAAAGAAGGTGAGAGAGGAGGTGAGAGAGAGAGAGAGCGAGAGGAAGGCAGTGTTGTAGTACTTGAGTTTAGGAATAATAAATAAATAAAATAAATTGGTCATTTAGCAGACGCTCTTATCCAGAGCGACTTACAGGAGCAATTAGGGTTAAGTGCCTTGCTCAAGGGCACATCGACAGATTTTTCACCTAGTCGGCTTGGGGATTAGAACCAGCGACCTTTCGGTTACTGGTACAACGCTCTTAACCACTAAGCTACCTGCCGCCCCAGGTAGCTTAGTGGAATTGAGTCACAATTTTTCATGACTTGTGACTCAACTCAGACTTGACCAGAGGTGATTGGTCCTTTTATAATGACATCATAACCCTGTTCTCTGACTGGTCCCTTCATCATAACATCATCATAAGCCTGCTATCTGATTGGTCCCTTCATAATGACTAGTGTTACAAAATTCCGGGAACTATCAATAAATTCCCTGGTTTTCCCGAAATCCCAGGTTGGAGGATTCCCGAAATCAGGAGGGAATAAGCAGGAAAAATCCGGAATCCTCCAACCAGGACTTCTGGAAAACCAGGGAATTTTTTGAAAGTTCCCGGAATTTTGCAACCTTAATAATGACATCGTCCTAACCCTGTTCTCTGATTGGTCCCTTCACCATGACATCATTCTCAGTCTCTAGACATAAATGTCATAAAATACTATCAAAAACATAATCTTAAACACATTGTTAGATATTGCTCTTTTATATAGATTACCTCACTTACCTCTGTGTTGTTGTTGCAGGTGTGAAACATTTCCTGGAAAAAAATCCCCAGACCAAATACGATTTTAGTTAAACTGTCCAGCCTGCTGCTGAAACAATATATTTCAACAGCAACCACATCTACAGCTACTACTGTTACTCTCACAAACCAAACCATACAACTTGTTCACACAGCTTTTAAATTGATGATTTTGCTAGTGAGTAGTACAGCATACCTGGAGCCTGTGAGTTCTCTCCTCATCACTCTTCAGGTCTAACAGCTCGTCAATGTTCACCTCCTCTGGCATCTCCTCCTCCTGGGGACACAAGGTGACAGAGCATCAGTCAAACTGTCCACCAATCCTCCACTACATCCTGTAGCTGTATGTCAGGATACTGCCCTCGGCATAATCCACTGCACTCTGCCCAGGGCAGTATCCTAAGGGATAGGCTGTGTAAGGGACAGGCTCAGATACAAGCATATAATATATAGGTCACTCACAAAAGGACAAATCAGGTCTTGCCATAAGTTCTGAGTTGCATGGGTCTTACAGACACAGAAGAAAAGCTGTGAGTGTTTTTAGAGTACACCATGAGACATTCACAGACCCTGGAGCACTGCAGTGTGTGTGTGTGTGTGTGTGTGTGTGTGTGTGTCTCCATGTTGGCTGTTGAGTCATCATATGCATGATGCAGGATGCTTGACGCGTGGGCCGGCAGTTAAGGGCTAGGGGGATGATTTTTTGGGGAAAAACTATTATTTCGATGGCTGCGCCTCTGTTGGAATCGGTCATCAAAGTGCCTCCATAATCTTAGGATTTAGTTTCAGTTGGAACACTGCATGTGAGGATAAGAAAGAGAGAGGGGGAAGAGAGCGAGGGGAGAGGGGTGGAAGGAGAGAGAAGAGGACAGACATAGAAGGGGGGAGGGAGTGGGGGAGGGAGAAGAGAGCGAGGGGAGAGGGGAGGAAGAGGGGGGAGAGGGAGGGCAAGAGAGGGGGGAGAGGGACGAGAGAGAGAGAGAGGCGAGGGGAGGAGAGAGGGGGAGAGAGGACGAGAGACGAGAGAGAAGAGAGAGGGGGGGGAGAGAGAGGAAGGGGAAGAGGAAGAGAGAGAAGGGGTTTTGGGGAAAGGGAAGGAGAGGGGGAAGGAAGGGAAGGGGAGGGGAAAAGGGGGGAGAAAAGGAGGGAGAGGTTTAGAGAAGAGAGGAGAGGGGGGAGGGAATGGGGGGGGAAGGGGGGAAAAAAGGGAAAAAAAGGGGGGAAAAATAGGTGAGGGGAAAAAATTTGGGAATTCGGGGGAAAAAACCCCCAAAAAATTAAAAAAAAGGGGGGGGGGGGTGGGAAAATTTTAAGGAAAGCAAAGAGGGAGAAGAGAAATAGGAAGCAGGTAGTGGGGAAATTAAAGAAATAAAGAAAAAAAAGGTATTTTAAAAAAAAAAAAATTTTGGGGAAGGGCCAAAACAAAAAATTGGGTTTGGGGGAAAAAGGGAGGAAAAGGGGTAAAAAAAAAAAGGAGAGGGGGAAAAAAAGGGATTTTGGGGGGAAAAAAGAAAAGGGGGGGGGAAAGGAGGGAGATAAACAAAAAAGAGAATAAAGGGGGGGAAAGGAAGAAGACAGACAAAGAGGGTGGTGGGAGAAGAGAGAGAGAACGAACCACCACCCTGGCTACTACTAGTCTAGGTATGCTGTAAGGACGGAAGCCAACACCATCAAGGCCAGACATTCTCCATCACAGATAGCATCCATTACGCTTTCTCACGGCCTCCTAAATCGGTCATACTCAAACAGTGCCTTCAGCTCCCCCCAAAGTCTCAGAGGAAAGCAGAGACTATTTGTATAACAGTCTATGCACTTACTTCATTTGGGAAATTTTCACAGATCATTAACTACACTGAACAAAAATATAAAATGCAACATGCAACAATTTCAAAGATTACAGTTACAGTTCATATAAGGAAAATCAGTCAATTTAAATAAATTCATTAGGCCCTAATCTATGGATTTCACATGACTGGGAATAAAAAAATACTGTATTAATCTGTTGGTCACAGATACAGTACCTTTAACAAAAAGGTAGGGGTGTGGATCAGAAAAACAGTCCATATCTGGTGTGCCCACCATTTGTCTCATGCAGCGCGTCATCTCCTTCTCATTGATTGAGAAGTTGATCAGGCTGTTGATATTGGCCTGAGGAATGTTGTCCCACTCCTCTTCAATGGCTGTGCGAAGTTGCTGGATATTGGCATGAACTGGAACGCGCTGTTGTACACGTCGATCCAGAGCATCCCAAACATGCTCAATGGGTAACATGTCTAGTGAGTATGCAGGCCATGGAAGAACTGGGGCATTTTCAGCTTCCCGGAATTTTCAGCTTCCCATTTTCAGCTTTCCGTGAACAGCACACTTCTCCAGCGTGCCAGTGACCATCGAAGGTCCACTGAAGTCGGTTACGACGCCAAACTGCAGTAAGGTCAAGACCCTAGTAAGGACGACGAGCACGCAGATGAGCTTCCCTGAGACAGTTTGAGCAAACATTATTCAGTTGTGTAAACCCACAGTTTCATCAGTTGTCTGGGTGGCTGGTCTCAGACGATCCCACAGGTGAAGCCAAATGTGGAGGTCCTGCTCTGGCGTGGTTACACGTGGTCTGCGGTTGTGAGGCCAGTTAGACGTACTGCCAAATTCTCTAAAACGATGTTGGAGGCAGAGTGGCCTTTTATTGTCCCCAGCACAAGGTGCACCTGTGTAATGATCATGCTGTTTAATCAGCTTCTTTATATGCCACACCTGCCAGGTGGATGGATTATCTTGGCAAAGGAGAAAATGCTCACTAACAGGGATTTAAACAAAGTTGTGCACAACATTTGAGAGAAATACGCTTTTTGTGCATATGGAACATTTCTGGCCCCTTATTTCAGTACATGAAACCAACACTTTACATGTTGGGTTTTTATTTTTGTTCAGTATAAAATATAGTCGCCCCCAACACACACCCATTTCCCAAACTACTTCTCTCAACAGGAAAGCATTCCACAATGGCTTCCGGGCAAACGCTTACCAAGAGTCTCATGGTGAGATTCCACCTTATTTATTTTTCCCTTGGGGCAAGTCTGCTCATTGGCACAAACAGCACATTCAAAGGGAATTATTCATGATGTGCTGCTATCAACACAGTGAGCCAAAAATGATCGTTTATTGCCCTTTTTGGTAAGGCAGAGATTCTTTGAATAACAAAATATGGAAATTGATGAAGACGACTGCAAATATCACTGTAGACTAGAAGGGAGGCTGTTTTCAAAACCTAACCCAAACATCAACCACAGTACACAACAAAGACAGCATGGGTGTGGTGGGGTGTGTGTGAGAGGGTGTGACATGTTGACTAGTGACACTCCTGCTACAGGCCATAGAGAGCAGTCTGACCTGAATGCTCAGCAGTAAGGTTAACCAGCCCTGTTGGGTCTGTCTGTGGGTGCCGTCGGGGGGGTGAACTTAGTGATTCTGATGCCGGTAGTGTAAAGGTCCGTCCCGGCAGATCCAAGCAGTCCCTTCCTACCCAGGCATCCCTGACCTTTCTTTCAACTCCAAATGCCAATGAAATACTGTCTCATACTGCCCACACACAGACACAGGCATTTAAAAACACAGCCACACGAGCAAGTCCACAAACACTCTCATACACGTACCACACAGACACAACAATGTGTGTAATACACGGTATTGTAATATACATATGTAATAAAACGACACATTATTGGCACACTGCATATCAGCAGATCTATTCCAGGGGCTGGTAAAAAAAAATAAACATCTTAATTCATACCCTAACATCAAAAATAATTATTGTAATGCTCAATTATACATGGTGTATATTCACCAATTAAGCAAACACATAGCTAATTTCCCCCCCTCGCATCTCATCCAAGCTGGCGTCCGCTAGAACTAGTACTACTCATTCTGGGGTTAATGAGGCTCAGTGAGCAGTTAAAAATCACATTCCTGGCAGTGTTGAGTAAACACAGCCTCCATCGTGGGACAAACATGATGACTCAGGCCTGTCAGGATGAGTTAGTTTCTTTAGGCTGTTGCAATGTTTTTATTGTGATTCAACTGCTTTCATTGTCCAAGTCTGGATTGCACTAATATATTTTATATGTCTCTTTTCTCACTTGCATCGATTTGCCCATCAAAGTAGATCATTTCTCATAAAAGTATGAATCTTGCATACACGAGTTTGAAATAAATACTGATAGTAGTATTTCTACCAGTCATTGATTTCTAGCAATGACACTTTAAACGAACTCCCTTTCATCTGTGGTTCTAATTTAGCCTGCACTGTGTGATGACAGTGTTTTAGCAGACAATGAAGCCCTATGTTAAAAATAGTTTAGGGTCCTGAAGGTGAGTGATTGTTTTGCAGAATGTAGCACCAGCAACAATACCAGATCTAGGTAGCACTTTGTAATGAGTATGGCTGGGCCCTCACTCCTCTGTAGCAGAGAGATTGAGAGAGAGAGTGGGCAACACAGCGAGAGAGACAGATAGAGAATGGGAGCGAGTCATTCCACCCAGTTTAGCATCAGTAGAGGGCTCCAAGGCAGCAATTTAGTTCACATCACTTCCAGGCCAGTGGGTTGAGGGTAATGTGTTTTTTGTTTGCTTGGGTACTCTTGGTGTTAGTCCACTGGTCCCTGTGTCCAGCTGTGCACCCACCTGTGTGTGTTTCTGTGTGTCTGTGTAATGTTTTCCATAGCCAACACCCTGATACAGTAAGTGGGCTGTCCCACACTGATGACAAAAGAAATCTGGGTCAAAATACCATGTCAGGTTTACCTGAAGACTAACGGAAAGTAAATGCATTTACAAGGGAAGTGACCACACTTTAAATCTACATGCATTTCCATAATTGCCATAACCCATTGAGGTGGAAGGTCATCATTAATAAAATAACTGAAACCAATCAATATACACATGAAACATTCAGCCTCAATACATTTCACTGATAATGAGCCACTACATTGCACTGACACAAATTATGATTTCTTAAAGTCACTGTTGTGGGTCTGTTTGTGTACACCATGTTACAACCCTCAGCTGTTGGGTTTACTTTAGAGCCTGCAGTATTGACAGACACTTATCTGTCTTTACTCAAGTTTTTTTCCACACCACCATTCCCTCCCCCTTCCATGCTGACATTGCATATCCTGCAACAGGCAAACTGCGAAACGCAGAACCACTACAGTATCTATCTACCCCTAATATACTACATTAACATGTAATTTCCAGAGTCATGATCGGTCTACTCTCGTCTGTCCCACTCACTTCTCTCCCACTCTGTAATATTCACATCCTCTTCACTGCCTGTATAACATATTGTTACACATCTCCTCTCTCTCTCCCCTACTCTTTCTCCCTGTCTCACACCTCGTCTCCCCAGCCCAGAATATGTCAACCTCTATTTCCATCAGGCCATCCCATGCCATCACATCCTAACAAGTCATTATTATTAAAAACATCAACATCACTAGTTTTCACCAGATGCATTCCCACAGTTACTTACTGCTACAGCACATAAAAATAATATTAATCTAGTACAGGGGTGTCAAACTCATTCCATGGAGGGCCTAGTGTCTGCTGGTTTTTGGTATTTCCTTTCAATTAAGACCTAGATAACCAGGTGAGGGGAGTTACTTACTAATCAGTGACCTTAATTCATCAATCAAGTATGAGGAAGGAGTGAAAACCCGCAGACACCGGCCCACCGTGGAATGAGTTTGACACCTGATCTAGTATTAATTACAACATTATTAGCCCATCTGGTCAGAACACTACCAAAAGGTCTCATTGTCAAGAATGTAATGCAAAAATAAGGGTTTAGTGCTGTCAGTGAAATCATGTATAAACCATAATTATTGAGATATATGATCGGCAAAGCGAGATTTCCAATAGAGGTTCTCTCTACACCAGGAAATGGGCCTGTTCATCAGGAGATTGATGGTTGTTTATCAGATCTACATATGCATGCAAATTAAATGTATTTCCATTAGGTTATTCATTTATCACTGGGCAGGTGTTCTGGTTCAAGATAAATAACATGACATAATTGCGTTTGTGATTTATATATTTTATGAGTCTTATGAGATTCATTTCCACGTCTTCGACAACTTGCATTCGTTGGGGAAACAGCTGTTATAGATCAGTTGCAATACCTATTTCACACCCATTAGATATTGATTGTTGCTACAAAAATAAACAATTGCACTCTAAAAACCTTAGTTCTCCGATGTTCTTCACGCCCAGTTTGCAGTGGTAAATTGCCTAACAACTGGCTGTCACATCTGTGTGGCTTAGTGGGCAGTGACGACGCAATAGAATGGTAATAATGACTGGGTGTAGTAGTGGGACATGGGATTAAAAGTGAAAAGACCCCGAGCCTGGCAGACAATCACGCAGATAGCAGAACACTGAAGGGGTCTTAATCCGGGCCTCCAATTGAGCGTTGATACAAGACTAATGGCCCTTGATAATGGGCCAAGTGATGTGCTACATTCAATGCTTTGAGCTTCAACAATAGGCTTGGTGATGGGGGGAGTTAGGGGGGAGCTGGGGGGTATTCTCTTTGTGCTCTTTGGTGACATATGGGACCTTCACTTCCCCCAAACCCCCATCCCCCCATTCATAAGAATCATCCCAGGAAACAAAGATGTCATCAATCAATAACTGGGATAGTTAGTGTCCGTTCAGGCCTGGTCAGGTGGTTCACACGTTGCAAGGCCAGCCAGGGTGGGCTTTGGTCTAGCAGGAAATTAGTATGGGCGAGATCTGATTACACAGTCATTACACATGCTTGCTCCACTATCAGCACATCAAGTAACTCATTAACATAGATATAAAGCTGTGGCCATGTGTTTGTGTTTATGAGAAAGCAAGACAGTGTGTTTACTGTATTCATCCACAAGCAACAGAATGGTACAGTATATCAAATTGTCATGAACACTAAATAGGCTCAAATGCAATATTTATATATTCTTTAAGTGGATGTGGAGACGCTATTAAAAATATGGCTCACTGATGCAGTTTTTACTGTCATTGTATCCCCTGTGGTTATATAATGGTCACTACAGAGACATCCCCCTGTGACAGCACTGCTTTTACTCCTCTGCGATTGGTTAGCATCTGCCAGGTGGTGGTCTTTGCAGTAGACACATTTAGTTTTTACTACCATGTTTTATTACTGTGTTATAAATTGGATGTAGAAAGTAGATGCTGAAGAACAGATTGCTAATTGGTCTGCAGAAAAAGAGACCCACCCAGAAGGCTGTAGACTCAATCGGTCTCAATGTATCATACAAACAGAATTCAACACAGGATGTGTAATTTCTATAGTCTTATAGTTAAATAAATTCTGAGCAGGAGATGGTTGTGTCTGACGGAGAGATTATTGGTATGGAATAATCTGAAAATCTGTCCCATAGCGCCAACCCCATCTCTACATCAACCATCCTCCCGAACCCCGCCTACTCACACAGCCGCCACCATGCAGTGCCTTGACCGAATGCCTACCAACATCCTCTGGTGCCCCTGCCCTCGCTGGTGATGCCACACACCGCACCTGGTCCCCCAGGGTCCTCCTGTTTTGCCAGCCAGAAGCCCATAAATCCTCAAGGCTATCCATGTAAAGCAACAAAGACCAAGCGACCTGGCCAGCCAGCCACAGACCTGTTATGTTTCTGGGAGCACTTTCAATTGGACTTCTGATCTTTCCCATGTCACCCCTGGCAGCCTTTCCCACTCACAGGGAGTATACTGACCCCTCCATGTCCTCCAATGACCATCAATCCCCTTACATACAACAGGAAGGGAACAACATGAAGGGAATCTACCATATCAACTTTTGCATTTTGCCTTGGATGTCAAGTCTATTTTTGTACTGGGTCTTTCCGCTCTTTGCTAATACGAGGAAGCATTCCAGGCAGCCGTAAAACACCTCCGCAGGTGTTCTTCTTAGAGCAGAGTAAACTGTTTCAACTGTGGTGTGTAAAGTGTGATAATATTTGTTCAGCTAATAAAATGCACAGACCATACCTTGAATGAATGTAGAGGAGGATGACATGCTAACAACTTTAGACAAACAAGGGTGTAAAGCGGAAACCAAAGCTTGACATGGTTAACCTTACTATCCTGTGCACGTGCTCCATGGCCTTGCTAATGGCTTTGTCATTTATTCTAGTCCCCTCTTCTGGCAACAGAGAAATGTTTGCTTTTATTATTATTATTAGCTAAAATGGACAAGTGTCCAGTCAATAGTGTCTGATAAGAAAACACATATGCACAATACTATCAATCTGGATTTTATGAGACCATGAATTGACCAATATGACAGGCATTGTTTTGACTAGACAGTCATTAGACCCTATGACTAGAAGGCATCTATCTACCCATCCTTGATTCATCGAATGTCAAGCATGTAAAATTGAGTAACGTCGTAGCCAAGGGACACTCGGCAGTACAATCTCTGAAAAACAGACAGTCAAATGTTTTAAATAGTTTTATTTACATATCTTGAGGAGACTAAAAATACGCGATCACTGCGTAACCGCTCACACAAAATGACTTGTATGTAACCAAAATGCGCCAAACGGATATATTCATTATAGTGATCAAGTCCCACTGAAGAGTGATGTGCAGCGCTACGGTGGATTGCGTACCCCGAAGCTGCTGCCAATGTCGCTTTTGTCATTCAGTGGACACTGATGCTAAGCTGAATAATTGTTATTGCGTAAAACCCTTTTTGTATTCTTACAATAAGTAAAATAAACGTTTCCCATTGTCTAGGTATGTGACCGTATGGGTATTGCGTGGCCTATCAATAGAGATCCGTTTCATTTCAAATAGATGGGACTCACCCTACCCACATAGAGCTCCTCCAGACTACAGTCAATCCACTTCTCCACATCCAAGCGCCTTTGGAGCTCCTTTCTGTTGTACTTTACCGTGACCCGTGCTTGCCGCTTCTGCAAGCTAAGCCCCGGGTCCCTCCCTGGACCCCTACTCGGGGAATGGACTTTGTTGTTACACCTCCTCCCGACCCGGTTCGCAGCCATATCCACTTCGGATGACAGACACGTGCAGACGGTGGACCCAGGGAGTGAAAGAGGTGCGCTCTCAGTGGCAATAGTAGCGCACCAGTGAATAAATCGGCTATGGGTCCTAGTGCCACACCGATCCAGACCCGGGAAACTGTTGCGCGCTGAGAGCAATGTGATCATTATTTAATTGATTGAGATTAGCTCTGTAAAATTGTGTCCATAATGAAGTTCTACACTTTCTGAATTGTGTGACAAGAATTCGCCAGAAATTTGAATTATTCAGTATTCTGGGGGAAATTACAATGACTCACCATCATGGTCACCACTATTTATAAATTATTTAGCCTACACATAGGGAATGATAGAGTCCTCTAGTGGCCAAAAGGCCGACGCCTATTAGCATGGGCAGTGCCATTGAGGTCTTCCACCGTTGTAACGTAGTCAACTGGGTCGGACTTCCAACTTCATTGGCTGAGCTCTCCTGGGGAACAGCCAATCAAAGAAAGAAGAAAATGAACTACTTCAAATTGGAGATTGCCTCTATGGCGCTGCCCATGATGTCAAAGACTCTATAATAGCACAGATACAAAGATGAGTCCTCTATGTATCTCTATGAGCCTACATGACGGTCTGCCCTTTTTCTGGCCTGCAAATTGATTTTGACAAACAAATCGGTAAAAAAAATCTGTGCAGCCCTCTGTTGAAATTCGAAATTCTGTTGTGGTGGTCGAGCCAAAAAGTTTGCCCACCCCTGGCCTAGTGCATGGGGTATTCAAATCTTACCCTATGAGGTCCAGAGCCTGCTGGTTTTCTGTTCTACCTGAATTAATTGCATCCACCTGGTGTCCCAGGTCTAAATCAGTCCCTGATTGGAGGGGAATAATGAAAAAAAGCAGTGGAACTGGCAACATGATCCAGATTTGAATTTGAGGGCATTGTGCTTCACCCTGGATTTACTTTCTATTTTCATTGGTTATTTATATCCAGCAAGCATAAGTCATGAACACAGCAGAGGATAATATTTGGTCATTTTAAGGTTATTCATAAAACATACAGAACTGTTATACTGTCATGTAATGACAATGATTTAGATGAATGTAACACACGGCCTAGAAGTTAATAGAGAGGTGGGCCAGCAACTAGAGCATGGGTCTCCAACCCTGTTCCTGGAGCACTACCCTCCTGTAGGTTTTCGCTCCAACCACAGGTGTTAACCAGCTAATTATTTAAATCAGGTGCACTAGATTAGGTTGGAGCAAAAACCTACAGGACAGTAGCTCTCCAGGAACAGGGTTGGAGAACCCAGAGATTTTCAGATTCCAAACCAATGTCCGACAGGAAGAAATATGGTCGAGAGTGGACCAACAAAGGGAGGGTCACTGGCATCAGTGTCCTAAATGCCATCTCCTGCAGTTGTGCCCTTGAGCAAGGCACCTAAAACTGTGCAGGCACTCCACTGTGGCTGTCCTCTGCTCCAACCTTTGAGTGTGTCTGTCTTTCATTTCCGTAGACTAAGGCAAATGGATCAATAAAGTTGTTGTCTTCATCTTTTTCTTCTACTCCACCCCCCTGGTGTCAAAAGCCCTGCCTTCATTCTAAACACTGCTGCCTGTAGTAGATACAGTGGTTAAGTGCGTTGTGCAAGTAACCGAAAGGTCGCTGGTTCTAATCCCCGAGCCGACTAGGTGAAAAATCTGTCGATGTGCCCTTGAGCAAGGCACTTAACCCTAATTGCTCCTGTAAGTCGCTCTGGATAAGAGCGTCTGCTAAATTACTAAAACGTATTACTGATGCACTAAGCCATTTGGTTATAGGTTATACCCAGGGTTGCAGAACGCAATAAGTCCTGTTTGCAGCCTACTGACTTCTTTACACATGTCGGTTAGTTTGTCCTCGCTGTAAACACTAGACTTTGACTCATATCTGCACACTCCTAAACAGGATATATTTTTAACATAACTGTAATACGGCACTGAACCTACTAGATGATGCTTGGAGCTGGCATTGTCCGCTCACCTTTCCAATCACCAAACACTGGAAAGCATGAACAATGTTATTTCACATACTTCTGACAGCTGAAGCAAACACACACCGTTTTATAGTAGACTTGTGACATGCTTTTATTCTAAATAAGAATTCAAATCAACTTGCCCAAATCAACCGGTATTTCTCCTACTTTTCTTGCTCTTGCCTGCGCTCTAGTGGGGTGACTTACCATGTACCACTGGATATCAAGTTTATGGCAGAAGGGTAATGGTGCCATCTTGTGGTATCAAAATAAAATGGATTCACTATTTGGCGAATGTAATGTAGACTACCTGTACTCATGTACAACATCTGTGTTAGTCTACGACAACAACAAAATAACTAAATGCGTGATTAGATTGAACAAATCCGTAGGCCTAACAATCGCTAAGTAAATATCTAATACATCTGAATGTCATGCAAAAGAACACAGAAGAGGGAACTTTTGAAAAAAGTTGAACCTAACGTCACACGCTCATAAGGACGCTTGGGGCGCCTCAGCAGGACCGAACGGTTTGGAAAGTTCAGATAGAAATATGATATGTAGAACACGTTGGCTCTATTTACGACATTTCTATCTGCAACGTTCAAACACGTTTGGCAACTGAACATTGCCTCACATTATCCCGTGGTCGAGGAAAATAGCACTTGTCGCTAGCTACGGTGTATTCAAGACTACAAAAGGAGGTCGCTTCAACAAGAAAGGAGTTTCGCTTACAGCTTCTAATAGTCTAAGACGAATTGCTACCTCGATCAAGAACATATTATTTGGTAGACGATTATTTACTTTGACGAAGGCTTTCACGGAAAAAAAACGATGAAACAGGTGTGGAGTGGTGGTGTATTGTTCCTACTGCTCGTGGTACTGGCCCGCGGTCAGTTGGACGAAGAGAAACAAGGATGCGCTTGGGATGTGGACACCGACCCCGACCAAGGTCTTGACCCAAAATCCCTTGAAGCTGGAGCCAGACATTTGGCTCACCTGCCGGAGATGGACTGCAAGGGGTGTCAGGATGCTTGCTGCGGCGACCAGGACTGCCAGCTCGCTTTGATTGGAACCCCAGCTGATGGAACTTCGGAGTGTTTTCTCGTCAGCTGCATGAAAGATGGAAAGGACGTCTGCGTTTTACAGTCCGATTCACAGTTCAAAGTCTACCGCAAAAAGACGCAGCCCAACACTAAAAAAGTCGAAGTTGACTCTCTTAGTGAAGCTGGTGTCCCCAGGGAAGTCAACGTGACAGGTAGGCATATTGGTCTTTAGGACAATGACAATTCAGGTGCGTCATTGGCACTTATAGGGACTGCTTTAGCCAAGTAGGCTAGACTAGGCTATATCAGTACTTTGTCAATGAATATGCCAATTGCTTAGTTTTTGGTGGGGTCAATATGGCTTACAAATTAGGGCAATGTGGCAGAGGACCATTCCCCAGCTCTGTCCTGGTTTTGCAATCCTTTTTATTGAGCTAAGGAATCATAGTGCAAGTTATGCACTCTAGAAATTAAATTTGACCTGGACTTTAGCCTTTCAGTCAGTTTAAAGTGTGAAAATGAATTATGGACCACCACTCAAGTTTATACAGTGTTGTCTCTTTTATTTGCTTCTTCCAATACACATTAACCCAGTGGCGACCAGTGCTCATTGTTCTGTATTTCATGGTGCTGCGTTTTAGTCTCACATACGCCATCCACTGCTTTGCATACCGTCATACATTCGTAGCCAGGTAAGGTGCGTTTTACAAAGTGGAACAATTAGGAAAGCGTGGTTTTTCTGTGCCAGGGGTATTGAATCCTATTGGAGTTCACAGGACGTTTTTTGTGTGGCAACTTCACCCATTTCTCTGGCACACACACTTACTTCCTGATAGGTGAACTTTCATGGGGAGAGATGGTGCTTTCAAGACAACTGCGAACTCGGAAAAAACCGAGGTCAAATTATGACGTCAGTGATCTTCAGGTTGGAAAGTCGGAGATCGAGAAAGAGGTCAGAGTTCCCAACTTGGAATTCCGAGTGAATGACCGTTAAACGTTTTTTTCTCCCATCGGAGCTCGTTTTTTTCCGAGTTCCCAGTTGTCTTGAACGCACTGAAGTCGGAAGTCGGAGATGTCTGAGTTCCCACTGCCCAATTGTTTTGAACACGGCAAGAGACTGGGCCAACCAGTCAGCCAGGTTTGCATGTGCAAGATAAGATTGATTTGTATAATAGGATGGAACGTCTTCTGAGGTGGAGTGGAGAGACTCAGGTCGGCGCTCCTTTGTCATGTTTTGTTTGTCCATTCCAGCTCCCATGGTTTCACTCAGTTTGTAAATCATAGGGAAATAAAGGCAGGAGAAAGCCACAGTAGGCCTACTAACTCTCCTCCTAGAAAGGTGCTTTTCTTTGACAACTAGGCCCTCATCATACATTTATTTATTACTTATATTATTTTGTTTTGGTGTTAATCATATTTTCATCTTGACTGATGTAGTTCCCGATTTGCTACTCTTTGACTATAGAACGTGCCCCTTTTTAAGCATGTAATCCGACAACGGATAGGTTTCCATGTGAATTGAGCTTTTTGTGACCCGCTTCAGTGTTAACCTCTCGTCTGCCCTTTCCTCTTCCCACAGATAAGTGCCGCATGCCCATGGTAGTGGGCTCCTGCCGCGCTGCCTTCCCCAAATACTACTATGACGTAACCAACCAGACCTGCAAGCTGTTCATCTATGGCGGCTGCGACGGCAACGGAAACAACTTTCACACTCAGGAGGAGTGTGAGGGGGCTTGTAGTGGGGTGACAGGTGAGATATCGTTCTACCTAGGTGATTTTCCATATTGGGGAAATATTTGTGGGTGTGTGGTTTCTCTGTTGGCCCAGCCATGGCGTCACTGCCGGGGCGTTGTCAGTGGAACGCAGCTGTGGTCTTAAGTCAACACATAGACAGTCTGAGGTGGTGGGAGCCAGCGGTAACAGAGGAGGAAGTGACCTTGTGGAAACTAAGTAACAGAGAGGGAAGTCTCACGTTACTAACAGCCTTCAGCAGGGACTGCTGGGGGGCAATTCCAATGTAATAGAATTAGGCAAAGACTCAGATTTTTTAACTTTAAAATGTATGCATTTTACAAAAGCACATTTACAGGAAGAACTGTGCAGATGCAAAGTTTGGTTACGGAAAAAAACAGAGTGAGATTTTACTGTAATTCTGTTACTAAACTTTGCATCTGCACAGTTTTTCCAGTAAATGTTAAGAAAATAATAATTGACTGTGTAATTTGTTCCAGGTGGTCATGGTGCATAGAGTTGTATGGTTTGTTTTAAAACTTTTATATAAATTGTTTTACATTTTTAAAGCGAAAAATCTGAGTCTCAGCATAATTCTGTTACTGTGGAAATGCCACGGGTTAAAAGACATGCCATGTTGGGGTTAAGTCTTTGTTTTCTCGGTAATTAGGCCTACCTATATTTTTTTTTCCTCGACGTCTTACATTTCCCCCTGCCCCGGCTTGTGTATGGTTGATCATTATTTAATGTGCATTTTATTCATCTCCCAAAGTCATAATTCTAAACTGGATTGGGCAGTGAGCGTTTTGTTTCAACTCAAATTGCCAAAACACAGAATGATTGTGTCAACACCTTTTCAGCAGGTTTAACTAACTCCCTTGTGTGTCTTAGTCCACACCCCAATGTTATTTAGGGTTTTCACAGCAATCAGTACTGGTTCTTTTGTTGTTGCTTTGCTGTAGGGCAGGGATGGGCAACTTTGATGTGGGGTGGGGGCCACAAAAAATCGGAACTCATCATGGGCAAATTGAGTGACTGACATAATGATAGAAAAACTGATGCACAACCAAATTTCGAAATTGCAACTTGTGTATTCTACACTGAACAAAAATATAAACGCAACATGTAAATTGTTGGTCCCATGTTTCATGAGCTCAAATAAAAGATCCCCGAAAATTTTTCCATACGCACAAAAAACACATTTCTCAAATTTTGTGCACAAATTTGTTTACATCCCTGTTAGTGAGCATTTCTCATTTGCCAAGATAATCCATCCACCGGACAGGTGTGGCATATCAAGAAGCTGATCATTACACAGGTGCACTTTGTGCTGTGGACAATAAAAAGCCACTTTAAAATGTGCAGTTTTGTCACACAACACAATGCCACAGATGTCTCAAGTTTTAAGGGAGTGTGCAATTGGCATGCTGACTGCAGGAATGTCCACCAGTCTTGTTGCCAGAGAATTGAATGTTGATTTCTCTACCATAAGCCGCCTCAATGTCGTTTTAGAGAATTTGGCAGTACGTCCAACCGGCCTCACAACCGCAAACCATGTGTAACCACACCAGCCCAGGACCGCCACATCCGGCTTCTTCACCAGAAGGATCATTTGAGACCAACCACGCGGACAGCAGATTAAACTGTGGGTTTGCACAACCGAAGGATTTCTGCACAAACTGTCAGAAACCGTCTCAGGGAAGCTTATCTGCGGGCTCGTCGTCCTCACCAGGGTCTTGACCTGACAGCAGTTCGGGTCGTAAACGACCTCAGTGGGCAAATTGCTCACCTTCGATGGCCACTTGCACGCTGTAGAAGTGTGCTCTTCAAGGATAAATCCCGGTTTCAACTGTACTGGGCAGATGGCAGACGTGTGGGCGAGTGGTTTGCTAATGTCAATGCTGTGAACTGAGTGCTCCGTGGTGGTGGGGTTATGGTATGGGCAGGCATAAGCTACAGACAATGAACACAATTGCATTTTAACTATGGCAATTTTGATTGCGCAGAGATACCTTGACGAGATACTGAGGCACTTTGTCGTGCCATTCATCCACCGCCATCACCTCATGTTTCAGCATGATAATGCACGGCCCCATGTCACAAGGATCTGTACACAAACTGAAAATGTCCCAGTTCTTCCATGACCTGCGTACTCATCAGACATGTCACCCGTTGAGCATGTTTGGAATGCTCTGGATTGACGTGTAAGACCGTGTGTTCCAGTTCCCGCCAATATCCAGCAACTTCACACAGCCATTGAAGAGGAGTGGGACAACATTCCACAGGCCACAATCAACAGCCTGATCAACTCTATGCGAGGTGTCGCACTGCATGAGGCAAATGGTGGTCACACCAGATACTGACTGGTTTTCTGATCCATGCCCCTACCTTTTTATTTAAGGTATCTGTGACCAACAGATGCATATCTGTATTCCCAGTCAGGTGAAATCCATAGATAAGGGCCTAATGAATTTATTTAAATTGACTGATTTCCTTATGTGAACTGTAACTCAGTGAAATCTTTGAAATTGTTGCATTTTGTGTTTATTTTTGTTGAGTATATTATTCTAACTCTCAACAGTAAGTTGAGACCCTGACTGAGTTCCCCCCCAAAATAAGTATTTATATATTTGTTTAATTGAGCCACAGGTGTGCCACCAGTTGCCCATCCCTGCTGTAGGGTAATTCCATGGTAACAGAATTATGCTGAGACTCTGATTTTTCACTTTAAAATGTATGCCAAGCAAAAAACATTGATTTCATAGTGTTTCATTCATTTCAAGTTCTAGCATGCATCACTATGGTAGTTTACTGCACATACTATTGTCCTTTTAGAAATAGTCAAAATAGCATCTCCTCCTTGTGGTCACTCCACTAGGGTCCTGGCAGCATCCTTAAGTCCTTCACATCAGTCCAGCAGGCTACTAGTCCAACTCCTGTCTCGGTTTCCTACTTTGAGTAAGCTACAGAAAATTGAATTATACCTAAACAAAGTAAATTAACTAAAATAGGTCATTTTTAAAGGCTTAGTTGGAACAATAAAACAGGACCAGGACCATTCATGTGAGTCTCAACTACTAAGCTAGTTAGTGTTACGTCATCCCTTTGAGGTGTAGAGTGTTTGTCATGGGTGTGTGTCGTGTGCATAGATGGTGTTATGCTTGTTTCAGCTTACCCAATGCCAAACCGGTTAAGCGACCTCTGTACGATGAGATGAACTGCATTTTTCACAAGGGTTGGCCTGAGCCGTGCACTATAGTCTCAACCATTCCGTAATAATAAACTCTTCATAGTCAGGCTCTTGCAGTTGGAGCTAATGTACAGTGCTGTGAAAAAGTATTTGCCCCCTTTCTAATTTTCTCTACTTTTGCATATTTGTGATACTGAATGTTATCAGATCTTCAACCAAAACCTAATATTAGATAAAGGGAACATAAGTGAACAAAGAACACAACAATTACATATTTATTTCATAAACAAAGTTATGCAACACCCAATTCCCCTGTGTGAAAAAGTAATTGCCCCCTTACACTCAATAACTGGTTGTGCCACCTTTAGCTGCAATGACTCCAACCAAATGCTTCCTGTAGTTGTTGATCAGTCTCATGTCGCTGTGGAGGAATTTTGGCCCACTCTTCCATGCAGAACTGCTTTAACTCAGTGACGTGTGGGTTTTCAAGCATGAACTGCTCGTTTCAAGTCCTACCACAACATCTCAATTGGGATTAAGTCTGGACATTGACTAGGCCTTCCCAAAACATCCAATTTGTTGCTTTTTAGCCATTTTCATGTAGACTTGATTGTGTGTTTTGGATCATTGTCTTGCTGCATGACCCACCTGCGCTTCAGCTTCAGCTCACAGACGGATGGTCTGACATTCTCCTGTAGAATTCTCTGATACAGAGCAGAATTCATGGTTCCTTCTATTAAGGCAAGTCGTCCAGGTCCTGAGCCAGCAAAGCATCCCCAAACCATCACACCACCACCACCATGCTTGACCTTTGGTATGATGTTCTTACTGTGGAATGCAGTGTTTGGTTTTCGCCAGGCATAATGGGACCCATCTCGTCCAAAAAGTTGACTCAAGTTTGCCAAAAAGCACTTGGATGATCATCAAGACTCTTGGAAGAACGTTCTATGGACAGATGATTCAAAAGTATAGCTTTTTGGACAACATGGTTCCAGTAATGCCTGGCGAAAACCAAACACTGCATTCCACAGTAAGAACATCATACCAAAGGTCAAGCATGGTGGTGGTGTGATGGTTTGGGGATGCTTTGCTGCATGGGGTGTCTCCTTTTTGGTTATTGAACTATAGTAAGTAAATTGGATTTACACCCGGTAACGAAATTACAGTAATGAAATGTCATCATGGGTCCCTGAAATGTACTACATAGAAATGCATAATTATGGATATGAATATAAGACATGTCTATGTCCTGGTAAGTTTGCTGTTACTTACAGCAGTCATGCTAATCACATTAGCGCACGTGAGCTCAACCATCCCATATACGGGACACCGATCCCGCAGAGGTTAAACAATCTCTCTCTTTAATTTCCCAACTTTTTCGAGCATTCAATAAAGCTCAGTATTTGAATTATTTATTTTATACAGTCATTTATGCTCATCTTTATCAATGGTGTCAATTTCAGACCCCACGGTATATGCCTTAATAAAAAATGTTTTATAGACTCTTAGCTTTCATTTGACAGTTGGTTCTCATGGGTCCGTTTTACATGGATGTTGCCCAACAAAGTCCACATTCTACCATGTGAAGAGTCAGTACATCTGAATTATTGCTGGCCGCTTGTTTAGACAGGAAATAGCTGTAATTCGGGATTTGTTTTTTTTTAAAGCATACAAATTGCACTCTAGTCCACTATCGTTTTTTTTTTTTTAATGGGTTGTAATCCGTTTCATGAATAGCTGTTTGTGTTGCTAATATTAACAAGAAGAAGCCATATCTGTTGAAAGGAAATGCTTGCTTTTTCAATGTATTATTTTCAAAGAGAAGCTTCCCTTTTAATCACTTCATTATAAATCGATACACCGTTTTTACAGTAAGGCTAAACCGTGAGTCAATGTGCTTTTGTTCCCTTAATGGGTTTCATGGACCATCACTTTCTCAACAGGTACTGTGCTGTTGTCCAAGGCCTCCCCCATGCAGAGAAGAATGGCTATGACTGCCGACGATCAAGGTAACATATACGTAGCACTATTTACACCACCTATTTTAAACACTTTCTTTAGAAGTAGTAAAACTGGAAATATCATACTGCATCTCTTGGATTGTGTGTCTCCGATTTTAAAAGGCAAAATGTCATGATCGTCAACATTAAAACACAACTTGACTGATGTGTATAATGGCAGCTACTTATGTGTGAGACCTGAGGCGGTTCTAGATAAATCAGTCAACAGTTCCACATTCCTCAGTCCTTCCATAATGTGTACAGCGCCGCTTATCTGTGTTTGTCCAACACACTTCAAATCATAGGTCATGTTATGGTGCCTCATATACAGTGCATTCGGAAAGTATTCAGACCCTTGACTTTTTCCACATTTTGTTACGTTACAGCCTTATTCTAAAATTGATTAAATAAAAACGCTTCCTCATCAATCTACACACAATACCCCATAAAAAAAAGTTTTTTAGACATTTCTGCAAGTTTATTAAAAATAAAAAACAGAAATGCCTTATTTACATTAGTATTTGCTATGAGACTCGAAATGGAGCTCCGGTGCATCCTGTTTCCACTGATCATCCTTGATGTTTCTACAACTTGAGTGGAGTCCACCTGTGTCAACGGGTCTGAATACTTTCCGAAGGCACTGTGTATATACTGAACAAAAATATAAACACAACAATTTCTAAGATTTTACTGAGTTACAGTTCATATGAGGAAATTGGTCAATTGAAATAAATTCATTAGGCCCTAATCTATGGATTTCACATGACTGGGCAGGGGTGCAGCCATGGGTGGGCGCATAGGCCCACCCACTGGGGAGCCAGGCCCAACCAATCAAAATGAGTTTATCCCCACAAAAAGGCTTTATTACAGACCGAAATACTCCTTAGCGTGGGCCTCCTGAGAGGCGCAGCGGTCTAAGGCACTGCATCGCAGTGCTTTAAGCGTCACTACAGACCCATAGGGCGGCGCACAATTGGCCCAGCGTCGTCCGGATTAGGTGAAGGTTTGGCTAGGGGGGGGCTTTACTTGGCTTATCGCGCTCTAGCGACTCCTTGTGGCGGGCTGTGCGCCTGCAGGCTGACTTCGGTCGTCAGTTGAATGGTGTTTCCTCCGACACATTGGTGCGGCTGGCTTCCGGGTTAAGTGGGCGGGTGTTAAGAAACGCAGTTTGGCGGGTCATGTTTCGGAGGACGCATGACTCGACCTTCGCATCTCCCGAGCCCGTTGGAGAGTTGCAGCGATGAGACAAGATCGCAATTGGATATCACGAAATTGGGGAGAAAAGGTGATTCCTGCAGTCAGTATGCAAATTGCACGCTCCCTCAACTTGCGACATCTGTGGCATTGTGTTGTGACAAAACTACACATTTTAAAGTAGCCTTGTATTGTCCCCAGCACAAGGTGCACCTGTGTAATGATCATGCTGTTTAATCAGCTTCTTTATATGTCACACCTGTCAGGTGGATGGATTATCTTGGCAAAGGAGAAATGCTCACTAACAGGGATGCTTCTGTTTGCCACAGTAAGTGTTGTGCAGTAGGCTTGATTCCGGACCCAGTCAGTTCTATTGGTGCCTTGATCTCTGAGTATTTTTTTATGTTTTATTTATTTAACCTTTATTTAACCAGGTAAGCCAGTTGAGAACAAGTTCTCATTTACAACTGCGACCTGGCCAAGATAAAGCAAAGCACCACCTATTGAGGTCAAAGGGGGGTGAAATGTAACTGAGGTCGTTCGATGAACTACGCTCTTTTGATGCGTAACTTTGCTGGAGACTTGAAGACTTTTGTTAGCTTCCTGAACTCATCCCTATGGGCTTTAGCTAAGTGGGATATCAGTCTTGTGACATGCAGGAGACCTGGTTCGAACCCAGTCAGTCACAAGAGCAAGATTAATAGGTGGAAAAAGGTGAAAGGCTATCCTTAGAAGGGCTATGACAGGGCTATTCAACTGTGTTCTTATGGGGTCAAATTGTTTTTTCTCCCTTCTATCACGGCCTGTGATCATCATAGAGGGCACATCCATTTTCCAGAGAGCCTTTCAGGAATGGATCATAATAGTTTATAGATGAAATGGTTTGAACTCTATAGGGCCTCCTGTAGCTCAGTTGGTAGAGCATGGCGGCGCTTGCAACGCAAGGGTTGTGGGTTCGATTCCCACGGGGGCCAGTATGAAAAATGTATGCACTCACTAACTGTAAGTCGCTCTGGATAAGAGCGTCTGCTAAATGATTAAAATGTATAGGGAGAAAATAAATTCTACATGCCACATTGGCTTCAGAAACCGCCAGAAGCTTCTGTTAACCACAGTTGGCGTTTTAAATTCTATCTGTTCTCCTCTACTTTTCGTGGCTTGCAAAGTACCAGAATGTTGTCTCTGGTTTTGAATCTGAATTTAGAGAACTGAATCTGAATGCATCTGAGAGGTTGAATATATGAAACTTTGATAAACTTGAAATTATAGTTTGTAAACTTGATACACAGACAATGAATGCAATATCTACCATATTGAAACTATATATATATATATATATATATATATATATATATATATATATATATATATATATATATATATACTGCTCAAAAAAATAAAGGGAACACTAAAATAACACATCCTAGTTCTGAATGAATGAAATAATCTTATTAAATACTTTTTTCTTTACATAGTTGAATGTGCTGACAACAAAATCACAAAAAAAATATCAATGAGGTCTAGCATTGTCTTGCATTAGGAGGAACCCAGGGCCAACCACACCAGCATATGGTCTCACAAGGGGTCTGAGGATCTCATCTCGGTACCTAATGGCAGTCAGGCTACCACTGGCGAGCACATGGAGGGCTGTGCGGCCCCCCAAAGAAATGCCACCCCACACCATGACTGACCCACCGCCAAACCGGTCATGCTGGAGGATGTTACAGGCAGCAGAACGTTCTCCACGGCGTCTCCAGACTCTGTCACGTCTGTCACGTGCTCAGTGTGAACCTGCTTTCATCTGTGAAGAGCACAGGGCGCCAGTGGCGAATTTGCCAATCTTGGTGTTCTTTGGCAAATGCCAAACGTCCTGCACGGTGTTGGGCTGTAAGCACAACCCCCACCTGTGGACGTCGGGCCCTCATACCACCCTCATGGAGTCTGTTTCTGACCGTTTGAGCAGACACATGCACATTTGTGGCCTGCTGGAGGTCATTTTGCAGGGCTCTGGCAGTGCTCCTCCTTGCACAAATGCGGAGGTAGCAGTCCTTCTGCTGGGTTGTTGCCCTCCTACGGCCTCCTCCACGTCTCCTGATGTACTGGCCTGTCTCCTGGTAGCACCTCCATGCTCTGGACACTACGCTGACAGACACAGCAAACCTTCTTGCCACAGCTCGCATTGATGTGCCATCCTGGATGAGCTGCACTACCTGAGCCACTTGTGTGGGTTGTAGACTCCGTCTCATGCTACCACTAGAGTGAAAGCACCACCAGCATTCAAAAGTGACCAAAACATCAGCCAGGAAGCATAGGAACTGAGAAGTGGTCTGTGGTCACCACCTGCAAAACCAGTCCTTTATTGGCGGTGTCTTGCTAATTGCCTATAATTTCCACCTGTTGTCTATTCCATTTGCACAACAGCATGTGAAATGTATTGTCAATCAGTGTTGCTTCCTAAGTGGACAGTTTGATTTCACAGAAGTGTGATTGACTTGGAGTTACATTGTGTTTAAGTGTTCCCTTTATTTTTTTTAGCTGTGTGTGTGTGTGTATATATATATATATATATATATATATATATATATATATATATATATATATACACACATCGTGAGGGGGAAAAAAGTATTTGATCCCCTGCTGATTTTGTACGTTTGCCCACTGACAAAGACATGATCAGTCTATAATTTTAATGGTAGGTTTATTTGAACAGTGAGAGACAGAATAACAACAAAAAAATCCAGAGAAACACATGTCAAAAATGTTATGTATTGATTTGCATTTTAATGAGGGAAATAAGTATTTGACCCCTCTGCAAAACATGACTTAGTACTTGGTGGCAAAACCCTTGTTGGCAATCAGAGAGGTCAGACATTTCTTGTAGTTGGCCACCAGGTTTGCACACATCTCAAGAGGGATTTTGTCCCACTCCTCTTTGCAGATCTTCTCCAAGTCATTAAGGTTTCGAGGCTGACGTTTGGCAACTCAAACCTTCAGCTCCCTCCACAGATTTTCTATGGGATTAAGGTCTGGAGACTGGCTAGGCCACTCCAGGACCTTAATGTGCTTCTTCTTGAGCCACTCCTTTGTTGCCTTGGCCGTGTGGTTTGGGTCATTGTCATGCTGGAATACCCATCCACGACCCATTTTCAATGCCCTGGCTGAGGGAAGGAGATTCTCACCCAAGATTAGACGGTACATGGCCCCGTCCATTGTCCCTTTGATGCGGTGAAGTTGTCCTGTCCCCTTAGCCGAAACCCCCCCCCCCCCCCCCCCCCCCCCCCCCCAAAGCATAATGTTTCCACCTCCATGTTTGACGGTGGGGATGGTGTTCTTGGGGTCATAGGCAGCATTCCTCCTCCTCCAAACACGGCGAGTTGAGTTGATGCCAAAGAGCTTGATTTTGGTCTCATCTGACCACAACACTTTCACCCAGTTCTCCTCTGAATCATTCAGATGTTCATTGGCAAACTTAAGACGGGCCTGTATATGTGCTTTCTTGAGCAGGGGGACCTTGCGGGCGCTGCAGGATTTCAGTCCTTCACGGCGTAGTGTGTTACCAATTGTTTTCTTGGTGACTATGGTCCCAGCTGACATCATTGACAAGATCCTCCCGTGTAGTTCTGGGCTGATTCCTCACCGTTCTCATGATCATTGCAACTCCACGAGGTGAGATCTTGCATGGAGCCCCAGGCCGAGGGAGATTGACAGGTCTTTTGTGTTTCTTCCATTTGCAAATAATTGCACCAACTGTTGTTACCTTCTCACCAAGCTGCTTGGCGATGGTCTTGTAGCCAATTCCAGCCTTGTGTAGGTCTACAATATTGTCCCTGACATCCTTGGAGAGCTCTTTGGTCTTGGCCATGGTGGAGAGTTTGGAATCTGATTGATTGCTTCTGTGGACAGGTGTCTTTTATACAGGTAACAAGCTGAGATTAGGAGCACTCCCTTTACGAGTGTGCTCCTAATCTCAGCTCGTTACCTGTATAAAAGACACCTGGGAGCCAGAAATCTTTCTGATTGAGAGGGGGTCAAATACTTATTTCCCTCATTTAAAATGCAAATCAATTTATAACATTTTTGACATGTGTTTTTCTGGATTTTTTTGTTGTTATTCTGTCTCTCACTGTTCAAATAAACCTACCATTTAAAATTATAGACTGATCATTTCTTTGTCAGTGGGCAAACGTACAAAATCAGCAGGGGATCAAATACTTTTTTCCCTCACTGTGTATATATATATATATATATGAGAGATAATTTTAATCTATTAGATTGAAATGTAATTACAGAAATTACAGTAACATTTCTCAATGCGTTTAGGCGTCCATATGACTTTTTTTTTTCTTTTTTTTCTTCTTCTGTTGGACCAAATGAAAATAGCAAGTTGAAACCGCTTGTCAAAGAGGAAGAATGTCGTCTACCTTCCCGCCTTTGGGACAATGACTCCCATTGTTAGGGCGGAGACATGAGCATCTTGTCATTATATACAGATCTCTGGTGTAAATGGGAGGTGGACAGAAGGAGCGAAGGCAACATGAGAACAAGTGGATATAAACGAAAAGTAAAAAGAAACTGGATTATTGTGGCATTTTGGAATATTGTGCAAAAACAAACATTCAAATTAATTTGATATTGTTCAGCCCTAACTCCAAGGCATGCTTTGAATACTGAATATGTACATTTTGTTACTATGAAGATTAGCTAAATAAATGTGTCTTGACACATCGCATCATTGGTTAATAACAGGGAAGCTGATCTCTGATTTGCTGAGATAATTTTCCTATGCCAAAAGTAGCGGTGCGGGCCTGTTCAAGTACACTGGCTGGGAAGCATGTGATTTTTACAGCACAAAGGTAAACATACTGTACCCATGGTGACAGTGTATTGTGTGATCACTGTAATTCCAACAATTTTGACTGACTTTAAAATGGGTCACTAGCTGCCAGTCCTGAGGATCCTGCCAGTTCTAACGATCTCCTTCCCAAGATGACATCAGATGACTTTATCGGCAAGTTGTCTGTTTCTCTCACTCCTCTTTGTTTCTTTCTATTCCTGTTGTCTTCCCTTCCCTGTAAATTCAATTGATAACACTCCTCTTCCTGTCCTAACTGTGTTTAGTGAATTATATGCTCTCTCCTCTTCCTATTCTCTCTTAATTGCTGTCATTTCCTGTTTGAGTGGTGCTGACCTCTGACCCTTTTCTCCTGTCCAATTAGAGATGTGCCAGGCCAGTCCAGAAACAGGGCCATGCCGCGCCTCCCATCGCCACTACTACTTCGACAGCTCCACCGGCACCTGCCTGCCCTTCATCTACGGAGGCTGCCTTGGCAACAAGAACAACTACGATACTGCCGAGAGGTGCCTCGCCACCTGCACAGGTGCTCTTCACCCTCCCCCTCTATCACCTCCTCCCATTATTACCTGACACTTCTCACCTCCCACCAACCCCAACAGGCCTCCCCACCCAGCAACCCCTCTCTCTCTTACATTGACTTATTTTATATCTCTCCAGTGACCGTCATCCCTGGCTCTAAGGGAAGGAAAGGATCTGATGCAGACAAACCTACAGATGACAAGAGCATTGAACATAACGGTAACTGGATAGAGGACATATTTCTGCAGTATGGCTTTTGGCTAGCTCCTTTAGGTTGATGTTCAGTGTAAACCATTCCCCCTGCATGGTGTAGTTACCTGTTCAGGGATCAGTCTCAAACATGTCCTTCCTGATGTGATAGCCTTTTTCACAGGTCTGCAGGTTTGAGATCAGTTCTGATTGTCCCCTGGTCCTCCTTTCCTCCACAGATGCTTGCATGGTGCCCTCAGACGCAGGCCCTTGCCGCGCTGCCTTCAGTATGTACTACTTTGACCGTAGCACTAGCTCCTGCAAGTCTTTCATCTACGGTGGCTGCCAGGGAAATGATAACCGCTACGGCACACTGGACGAATGCATGGCCCGGTGCACTGGAATGGACGGTAAGGATGGACTGCATTTCAGTGATCTGACAAATAGGATGAGATTATAAATTGTCAGGTTATGGGAGTGATTAAGTTAGCCTCAGGCTTCTCATGGAGTTCAAAAGCCTGGGGGAAGTTAAATATAGTGGGTATCGTAAGTATTCACCCACATTGGATTTAAAAAATTGTTTTGTTGCGTTACAAAGTGGGATTGAAATGGATTTAGTTATTGATCTACACAAAATGCTCCAGAATGTCAAAGTGAAAAGAACAAATTAATACAAATAAAATAACTAAAATATAGTTGTTGCGGCCTCCCGAGTGGCGCAGCGGTCTAAGGCACTGCACCGCAGTGCTAGAGGCGTCATGACAGATCCGGGTTCGATCCCAGGCTGTTTCGCAGCCATCCGCGACCGGAAGACCCATGAGGTGGCACACAATTGGCCCAGCGTCGTCCGGGTTAGGGGAGGGTTGGGCCGGCTGGGATGTCCTTGTCCCATCGCGCACTAGCGACTCTTTGTGGCGGCCGGGCGCATGCATGCTGACTTCGGCCACCAGGCTTCCGGGTTAAGCATGCAGTGTGTCAAGAAGCAGTGTGACTTGGCAGGGTCGTATTTTGGAGGATGCATGGCTCTCGACCTTCGCCTCTCCCGAGTCCATACGGGAGTTCCAGTGATGGGACAAGACTGTAACTACCAATTTGATATCACGAAATTGGGGACAAAAAGGGGTAAAAAATGGTATAAAATATTCACCCCTTTTGTTTAGGCAAGCGTAAGTTAGTTAAGGAGTGCAATTTGGCTTAACAAATCACATAGTAAGTTATATTGACTCACTCTGTGTGAAATAATAGGGGTTGACATGATTTTTTAATGACTACCCCTTCCTCTGTCTGCCATACATACATCTGTAAGGTCCCTCAGTCAAGTATTGATTTTCAAGCACAGATTCAACTACAAAAACCATGGAGCTTTTCGATAGCTTCATAAAGAAGGGCAGTGATTTGTTAGTTGGGTAACAATAAGAAATCAGACATCGAATAGCTATTTTAAGCATGGTCAAGTTAATCTTTATGGTGTGGATTATGTATTAAATCACCCAGACACAACAAAGATGGTCGTACTTCTTAACTGAGCTGCCAGACAGGAAGGAAATGTCACCATGAGGCCAATTTTAAAACCGCTACAGAGTTCAATGGCTGTGAAGGGAGAACTGACAACATTGTTGTTACGCCACAATAATGACAGAATGAAAAGAAGAATACAAATTATTCCAAGATAAGGCACTACAATAATACTGCAAAACAATGTTGCTAAGGAATATACTTTTTGGCCTAAATGCAAAGCCTTCTGTTTGGATCAAATCCAACACATCACAAAGTAACTGCCGCCTTATTTTGAAGCATGGTGGTGGCTGCATCATGGTAAGGGTATCCTTGACGTCGACAAAGACTGGGGAGTTTTTCAGGATGAAAAGAAACGGGATAGAGCTAAGCACATGCAAAATCCTAGAGGAAACCTGCTTCAGTCTGCTTTACACCAGACACTGGGAGAGGAATTCACCTTTCAGCAGAACAATAACCTACAACACAAGACCAAATTTACACAAGTTATTTACCAAGAAGACCGTGAATGTTGCTGAGTGGCGAAGTTAGTTTTTGATTTAACTCTGCTTAAAAATCTATGGCAAGACTTAAAAATTGCTGTCTAGCGATGATCCCCAACACCTTGACAGAGCTTGAAGAATTTTTAAAATAATAATGGGCAAATATTCAACAATACAGATGTGCAAAGCTCTTATGAGACTTGCCCAAGAAGACTCACAGCTGTAATCGTTGCTGCCAAAGGTGTTTCTAACATGTATTGACTTTCTTTTGAAGTGGATATAGTGATATGTTTATTTTCTGATTCCATCATTTTCACAGGCGAGCAAGGGCAACACAATGGCCATAACCGCATGACACCAGGTAAGCTAACCTTCCTTAGGTTCTAGGCTGACTGAGAGGTTTAAAGGGTCATGTTCCAGTGGGTGTGATATGGCAACGATTAACAGTTCTGAATACAGCTTCAGGAGAGTCTATAGGTTTCTATTTAGAGTTTGTTTTGGGTAGAATATGAACTTGGCTTGTGCGAGCCGGAATGGCTCATAGGAACAGGAGCCTATCTCCTGTTTCTGCAGTGTGAGGCATCTTGAGGTACAAGTACACCCCCTGGACAGTGCGTTATTTATATATATATCTATATATCGAACCCACAACCCTGGCGTTGCAAGCGCCATGCTCTACCAACTGAGCTACACGGAACTAGATTGGCGGTCAAGCCCTCCGATCTCCTTAATCCTGAGTGCCAAGCAGAGACTCATCAGGTCCCATTTTTACAGTCTTTGGTATGTCTCGGCCGGGCATCGAACACCTAACCTTCCAATCTCAGGGCGGACACTAATCACAAGCCACTGAGTTGGTCTCATTGATAAATGAGACTGTTAGAAATAACACCATGTGATGTGAACCAAAGCGTGATCATGAACAACTGAAAGATTCACTGAGAATATACACAGTGTACAAAACATTAGGAACACCAACGCCTTCCTAATTGAGTTGCACCCCCCTTTGCCCTCAGAACAGCCTCAATTCGTCAGGGCATGGACCCTACAAGGTGTCGAAAGCGTTCCACAGGGATGCTGGCCAATGTTGACTCCAATGCTTCCCACAGTTGTGTCAAGTTGGCTGGATGTCATTTGGGTCGTGGACCATTATTGATACACACGAGAAACTGTTGCGTGTGAAAAACCCAGCAGCGTTGCAGTTCTTGACACAAACTGGTGCGCCTTGCACCTACTACCATACCCTGTTGAATGGCACTTAAATATTTTGTCTTGCCCATTCCGTCTCTGAATGACACACACACAATCCATGTCTCAATTGTCTCGAGGCTTAAAAATCCTTCTTTAACCTGTCTCCTCCCCTACATCTACACTGATTGAAGTGGATTTTACATCCATAAGGGATCATAGCTTTTACCTGAATTCACCTGGTCAGTCAGTCATGGAAAGAGCAGGTGTTCTTAATATTGTGTACACTTAGTGTACACTCCTTTACTCATTTATTTGGACAGTGAAGCTGCAACTTTTAATTTGGCTCTGTACTCCAGCATTATGGATTTGAGAGAAAATGTTTCAGTGACAGTACAGACAGAATGTCACCTTTTCATGAGGCTATTTTCATATCTGTTTTACCGTTTAGAAATGAAAGCACTATGTATCTTGTATCATTTGAAGGTGTCATAAGTATTTGGACAAATCTGTATTAAAGTAGTCAAAAGTTTGGTATTTGGTCCCATATCAATGACTACATCAAGTTTGTGACTCTACAAACTTGTTGGCCGCATTTGGGCAATTCCATGGTAACAGAGTGATTCAGAGACTCCTATTTTTCACTTTAAGATGTATGTAAAAAAACAAACAATGATTGCAAAGTTAAACAAACCACACAACTCTGCACAAGGACTAGTTTTAACAATTTCCACTGAAAATGTTACAAAAACAAATTTACTTGAACAGTGCCGATGCAAAGTTTGGTAACAAAATGGCCGCACAAACTGTCATTCTCAGCAAAAAGCTGTATACAAGCAACCTATTTCAGACCGGTCTGCACATTTTTTAAAAGTTTGAATGGTGTTTCTAGCTTAAACGGTGGAAGACTAGTTATGACCAGAATTTCTTACCATTAAATTCTATTGGGCGCAACACAACCAAAACAAACTGCAAATGCATCCAATACGTTTGTAGAGTCACAAATTTGATCTAGTCATTGCGTTCTAGGAATATGGGACCAAATACTACACTTTTGACTACTTTAATACACACAGTTCAATTTGTCCAAATACTTATAGCGCCTTCAAATGGGGGGACGAGATAATGATTTCATTTCTAAACGGTGAAACATATTTATGAAAATACCCTCAAATAAAAGTAATGTGCTATTGCCTCATATGAAACATTTTGATCTCAAATCCAAAATGCTAAAATATAGAGCCAAATTAAGTTTTAGTTTCACTGTCCAAATAAATAAGTATGGGAGTAAATGCCTCCCTCCTTCCCCTCCAGGGTTCTTCCTGGTGGTTTCGCTGGTTGTGATTTCAGCCCTGATCCTGGTGGGTCTGATCCTCTTCACCTTCCGGTGCTCCAGGCTGCAGCGTGGCCACCGCCGCCTCAGTGACAAGGAAGACCTGCTGCCCGACGAGCAGCTGTTTGAGGAGCAGCTGCCCGAGGAAGCGCTCCCCAAAGTGGGCACCGCACCATAAGGAGGGAGCCCCCCCTGCTCCTGTGTAGCTCCATGGAGCCACAGTCACCTTACGTCACTTTCCATTCCAAATATCACTGACACGGAATGCCTGCATCTGCTGGTTGTCAAGGGATGTATTCATATACGATGGGAAGTTGTTCATTTGTTAATTGTGTTTTTTTGTCCAAATAGCCACTATACTAATTACGTAGATTAAAATGATAGGTAAATTGCTAATACATGCACACCTGAGAGGTGTTTAGGCCAGGTTTTGGTGAGTGATTTAGACTGTGCTTGACTTTTTCAGATCATAGGGAATTTCTGCTGCTGTCATTACTTTTGTTTATTTAAAAGGCTGAAACTTTGACGGGCAGTCTCCCAGACACAGATTAAGCCTAATCTTGGAGAAAAACACAAACTCAATGGAGAATCTCCATTAAAATGTTTTTTAGTCCAGGATTAGGCACATCAATGTGTCCGGGAAACCTCCCCTGAATGGGGTTTTAAAACACTTTTGTAAACTTCGCTTTAGTTAATGAACGAACTACTATACTATGTGCACTGTTAACTGTGAGATGTTATTTTGTACACCTATATTCAGTGGCAGGATTGCCTTTTAAAACAAAATATAATGAAGTCAATTTAATGAATGAATAAAATATTTAATGTAACATTTTACTTACAATTTAAGAGGGGAGCACATCATTTAAATCTTAAACATGATAAACATGACATGGATGACACAACTGTTATTTTCATGATTACACTAATACCAAACACTATCCTGTTCTACCTGTAACTCAGCAGTGAGATGGATGACGTCAACACTGCATCCTCTTTATTAACTACTGAATGTGTTTAATAAATAAAATATACTGGTACTTTTTGATTGCTGAATCTCTATTTATATAGCACATTTTTTTACAGTGCAAAGTGCTTCACATACATAAAGAAATTAGAGAATAAAACATACATTTATAAATAAGTAGTAAATAGATACATTTAAGATGGTAAAATAACATTGGACAACTAAAAGCGCCCTAGGTAAAAGGTATGTTATTTTTCTTAATGTCAACGGTTTGTCAACTCACTCCCAGCTGCATTTGTATTGCTTGAGATTGGAGAGGACAAGGCTGGAGTGTTTTTTTTCTTACCTCTAGAGGGCAGAAGTGACCATGATACATACTCAGTATCTTAGTGAAGAAACTAGACTGATCTTTGTGGGCACTCCTTAAACTGATCCTATGAGTACATTTTATGCATAGGACTCAAATGTTTTCTTCAACACTAGTTATGGAATTTCAGTGAGTGAAGTTTTTTTCTAAATCAAAACATCCTATTCAAAATGATCATAGTAATGTAGGTTCTCAACTGCCATTTGAATTTCACTGTCAATTTATCACTTTGCACATTTCATCGCCATGCAAAAAGGCTCGAGATAAACTAAGAGGTTATCTTGATGGGGTGGGTCGTTTTTGTAATAAAACACAGGAATCGGCTGAACATTTTCATTCCGGACGATTCTAAAATGACCTAGCTAATTGAGCAAACTTAATTCGGAATGAATTGGTTCCAGGCCTGGGAAATGGTTAGTGATAAAGTAGGTAGCCAGCCACATACAGAGGCTGTGGAGTGGGTGTGGTCATGCAGGGTTTGGTGTTGTGTTGCTGGCTCTTTTTCAATTCATTTTTCTCGATTCCTTGCACCCTATCTCCTCGCCCCGTCAAAATCCATTGGAGAAGGTGGTACAAGGGGAGGGAGGGACTTTGGATCTTCTCCTCAAATACGGTTGAAAAGGAGGCGGCGGCGATAGGATGCGAGGAACCACAGAAAGACAAATTGAGATAGAGCCCCAGTGTAATGTTCACCTTCCTCTCCCGTTCCTTTCTGCTGAAGAGGCTGAATATGAAGCAGCTGGACTCCTTGACGTTGTGTCCTTGGGTACTAAAGTGCTCTGCTTTCGCTGAGCTCTAAAATGAGGCCCTAAAGACCAAATGATTAGCTCATTTCCCAACCATGTAAATCCACCCTCTCCTCCCACGCACGCATACACACACACACACACACTCATTATTAGTCAATGAGATTCAAATTCATTTCCATAAACAATCAAACAGAATGATCATTTCAGTTGTGCCCTGGCTCTGACACAAAACGTTGAGATAACTGTTGGTCAAAGAGGATGGTGGGAGGAAAGGGGGATAGATAGAGAAACCACAGAGAAAGTAGAGGGGAGTGTTAGCGATAAGGATGTTGGGTCTTCAAGAGCAGAACTCCAACAGCGCAGCATGGGGGATAATGTTTATAGAGCGCCTATAACCCTCACTGTCTGAAAGCAGATACACTGGACACTGTCCACCCCTATAACTCTCACTGACTGTCCAAGGTAAATCCATAGGACACTGTCAGCCCTGCTTCTACAGTCTAATCCTTCTCTTCTCTCCACAGCGTGCTCCCAGGCCCATAACCTATAACTCTCCTCCTGCAGTTCCAGTGGTGTGCACAATGCAGGGCTTTGTTTGGCCCGATGTGTACCCTGGCCTTGGTAACCTCTCTTGGTGATGTTGTCAGTGCCTGTGGTCATCTGTTTTCCATCCAGTGTTGGTGTAATTGTGCTTATTTAGCATGACACCACCTCTCCTCCTCTTCACCCCCCAACCCCCCACCCCCTGTACACCTCCACCCCTCAACAGCTGCCTCACAGATTTGAGGGATGCTCTGCATTCCTGGGGCATGAGTGGGAGTGTGATTCCCCCATTTACCCCTTCTCCAACACACATTCAGACTTGTGTGTGTGTTGGGGTTTGTGTGTCAGGAAGTCATAGATGGTGTGTTTGAATGCGTGAAGGAGGGGGTTTGTCTGTTTGGTATTATGGCAAGTAAAAGTGAGTGAGTTTGTGTGCGTGTATGTGTGTTTGTAAGCTCTTCATGCCGAGGGACACCTCAGTCTGTCCTCACACTCCTCCTGGTAGAGCCCCTTTTCGGGAAGGGGGGAGTGGCATACCCTCTCCCCCACTCCAGCAGGGTAGGACCTCCAACCGTGGGCCAGTTCATCTCCCTAAGGAGGTGTCCCTCAACTCGGGTACTCCCCATCCCCTCCAGCCCTCTCCCACCCATCACCACGTCTTTAGCAGGATAATGACAGAGCCCTAAAACGCCACAGAGCCACCCAAAGGAACTGACCCCAAATCAGCCATGCCAGAGACGAGGAACAGAGGAGAGAAAGCGAGAGGGAAGGATTTATCAAAGGAACGAGTGAGTAAGAGAGAGAGGTTCTGGTGTGATATAAATGAGTGAGACAAAAAGGGAGGGAAGACAAAGGGAGCAAGAGGAAAAGCGAGAGAAAGAAAGTAGTGAGGTGAAAGCTAGGAAAGAATCCTTCTCCACTAAGTATGATGTCATGACTTTGACTCTCAAGAGCGTGGAGAGGAGGTCCTAAAGGGGGGGATGATATCTTGGCAGAAAAGGGGACTGAAATCCGAGTGACCCCGACTAAAATTGAAAGCAGTTGTGAATCCTCTGGAGGGCCGAAGTTTTTGCGATCCAGACTCTGCTCCCAGTTCCCACGACACCAACCGACCTCCACTTCTCTTTTTTTCTGCACTTCCCCCTATTTTCTCGTTCTTTCTCTCATTCTTTCGTTGGCCCCTGTGCCTATAAATGGGAAGTCTGGTGGTATTTTGGACCGTCGGCCATGACCAGTCGCACTTAAAAAGGCAAAACGGAGAGGGGGATGGGATGGAGTGGAAGATGCTTATAAAAAGCGGCCTTGAGAATGATAAAATGGCCATGAAATGAAAAATACTTTTGTCAGATGATTTAGGAGATGGTGAGATGGCTAGACTACACCATGTCCTTTGACCCCTATTTTCCTCCAAACACTTCCTGGTATGTGGCTCTATTTCACTGATGATTCTTATTTGTGAATGTGTGATGGAAAACTGAGAGCAGGATGATGCTAGAAGGAACGTGTGGAGGAGGGAAAGAAATATGTTGGGCAAAGAAATATGTTGGGGAAAGAAATATGTTGATCCATCCCCCCCAAAAAATAAAAAATAAGAAAAAAGAAATTAAAAAAAGAAATATGTTGTGGAAAGAAATATGTTTGGCAAAGAAATATGTTGGGCAAAGAAATATGTTGGGCAAAGAAATATGTTGGGCAAAGCGTTGATGGGTTTATACATGTTTATAAGTATTTTATCCGTCGTTCATCCCTCTGAGGCCATGAGAACCTCTCAAGCATAAAACAAGATTGACAAGATATAAGATATGTTAGGTAATGTTAATAAAATAATAACAATATATGCCATTTAGCAGACGCTTTAATTCAAAGCGACTTAGTCATGCATGCATACATTTTATGTATGGGCACCGGGAATCGAACCCACAATCCTGGCATGGCAAGTGCCATTCTCTTCCAACTGAGTCGATGATGGTAAAGTGTTGTGTACGGGTATTAAGTCTATTTAACAGTATCCAAGTTAAATATGAGGCTACGCCTGTATGAAAAGGTACAGTACATACTATGTACTGTATGATCTCCCAACCTCTTCATTTGGCACTTCCATTCTATGATAGAGTGCCATAACAAATAATAATAATAAATGGTCTCCGTGTTACGTCAGGGATAAGTTTATAACCTATTGTTACCTTGAGATGAAGACCAAATTGCCCTTGAGGGCTGTTCATCTCTAAACCTCCCTTGCCAGGACAACAGACCAATCAGAGCATACTGCGAGTTAAAGCCAGGTGAAATCTTTGTGGTATTCCTCGTGGCAGCCAAGTCGATGTGTGTGGTAAACTTTACAGGCAATTAACTGTATTTATGACATTAGGGGAATGGGAGAGAGATGTTCTCAAGCGAGCAGCTATTCACCTCCGGGGTAGGACTCTTCAGTTTGATGTCAAACCTGAGGGAAGTTAAGCTGTTTAAGGTCATTTCAGTTGTGCTGAAACTAAACAACTTGGACTTTTGGCAAAAATACCCTATTGTGTTATTGCGAGATACAATCATCAGTG